ACAAAATGCATTTTCTATAAATTTTGTAGAAATGTATAGGTTCTATTTAATATTATTTAAATATTTTTAAATATTTTAATGCAGAGACAAATTTATTATTAAAATTTGAAGATGCATACTAAATTTGCCGACGTTATTATTTTTTTCAAAAAGAAAATATATCCAAATATAGATTAGTAAAATGTGATAAATCAAATTTTCGAAAGAAACCAATAAAAAACATGTGGGAAGTTACTAAAAGCTTTTTCCCTGTAACACTAAAATTCATTTGTTTGCTTCTTTTTTTTATTTATTTGACTGCGAATAAAATATTTACAGTTTGATAATCTGATTCATTTCACAACTACAATGTAGTTGTTAACCGGAAGATTTCGTGCAATTCCGGAAAAATAAAATTTTTTTTGAACGATATTGAGAATCAGGAATTTTATTTTTTTCGTACTGAATTTTACGAAACAAAAAAAACCCGTCGATGTTCATTTCACAAATGCTACTTACGAAATGTAGCCTTTATAGTTTAGCCGGTATAGTTTTTATTTAATTACGAAAATTACGAAATAAAATTATTTTGCTACATACGAAAGTAGCGCTTACGGAAGTAGTACTTACGAAACGAGCTCTTTCGCTAAACGACGTTTTGTCTATAAAAAAGTCTATAAAAAAATTTTGTTGGCCAAACGGATATAATTGTAAAAAAAAAAAATCTTTATATACCAAAATGTTTATAATAAAGTTTTTTTTTTCAGTATTGCAACATATGAACATTTTAGGGTTTTATTTTTTGAAATAACAATAAAAAAACCAAATTTCTTTCGAAACGAAACTCTTTTCGCACCGCTACTTGGGAAACAGTTCTTAGCGGAAAAAAAAACCAACGAAACACGGCATAATATATATATTAAATTATGTTTTATGAATCAAATACGTATAATTAACTAAGTACTTAAAATACTAATTTTTTATATGATATTGATAAGTTTCAGTTTTAAACTTTTATAAAAAAATCAAGACTTTCATAAAATATACTTTTTAGAATGTCATTTAATGAATAAGAATTAAATAATGAAGATAACTTGAACAACGCTAACATATGAATGCAATTGCGTAATCGGGAAACAATGCCTTTGTTGAAATCAAAAAGACTTAATTTAAGTGATGAATGAAAAACTTATATATATAATAAAAATAGCTTCCATTTGTTTTCAAATAGAATAATTTTATGTTTATTCAGTTTCAATTTTTTACTTTTGAGGTGCTCTGTAATATGTGCTCTCTCAAAACTAACTCAAAGTTTCAGTTTTTACTTTTTAAATTTTAGCTTCGTTAGGCCCCCTTAATTTCTGTTACAACGCCCCCCCCCCCCATCCTAAATAACCTTTCGAGGTCACTATTTATATATATATATATATATATATATATATATATATACATATATATATATATATATATATATATATATATATATATATATATATATATATATATATGTATATATATATATATATATATATATATATATATATATATATATATATATATATATATATATATATATATATATATATATATATATATATATATATATATATATGGGAAAAAGATATCTTTAGACGAATAAAAGACGTCTATTTTATGACTTGTTATGTCTTTTTATAATCAGCCTAAATAAAGACGTGGAAAAGACGTGTTTTAAAAAGACATCTTTAAAAAAGAGGTCGAAAAGATGTACGTCTTTAATAAGACGTAGAAAAGACGTCTTTTATATCGATGATCTTTAAAAAAAAGAAATGAGAAAATTTTTATTTAAATGTTAAATTAAACAACACCCAGTAGAAATTTTTTTTCTTTAGTGAGGGGAGGGGAAACTTCACTAACGTTTCCCACTGGGAAACAACTTAAGTTATTAATAAGCAAATCATAATTTGTTTATTATAATTATAATAAACAAATTATTATTTGCTTATTAACAACTCAATTTGTTAATAAGGAAATCATTATTTGCTTAAGAAAATTAAAAATAATTATTGTCAACAAAAATTAACAAAGATGGGTTTTAACCCACAGTATCGTAATTACGATATCTTTGTTACTTTTTTTGTTTACAAAATACTTTTATAAAACCTTTTTTTTATGTGAAACGTTTTTGCAAAGGAAATTCAATTAAAAATGAACCATTTTCGGTAAGTGAGTTTATTTTTTAACTTATATAATAAAGTAATATATTATGTAAAACATACATAATATATATGCATATATATATTCTATAGTAGATATATATATATATATATATATATATATATATATATATATATATATATATATATATATATATTATATATATATATATATATTCTATAGTAGATATATATATATATATATATATATATATATATATATTTATATATATATATATATATATTCTATAGTAGATATATATATATATATATATATATATAATATATATATATATATATATATATATATATATATATATATATATGTGTATATATATGTATATATATATATACACATATATATATATATATATATATATATATATATATATATATATATATATATATATATATATATATATATATATATATATATATATATATATATATATATATATATATATATATATATATATATATATATATATATGTATATATACTGTATTACATATATATATATATATATATATAATATATATATATATATATATATATATATATATATATATATATATATATATATTTGCAGCTGTTTAGCTAGAAAATGTTAATTGGAAGAAGCAAAAAGTGGATGGCGTGGTGCGAGTAAAATGGTATCGATATTATCTAGTCTCAATTAAGTTAGTCGCAGGTAAGTGATTTAAAACGTTTTACAGTTTATTTTTGGACTAATTTTATGTGTTGTGCTTGAAGAACGTTGTTTATTACATACTAAATTAAGATATTTATTTTGATACAAAAAATAAAACCTGTAAACGATTTCTGTCTATATTTACTGGTTCAAGTGCCAGTGAAACAAACGATAGAAAAAAAGAAGCGTTCAGTAGGCTTGCAATAATTTTTTTTATATATTTTTAAATGATCTGAATAATTTTGTTGTTTTTATTTAGTTGAATGATAAAGTTGTTTATACAAAAGATTGGCTCTTTAATTTTTATGTTAAAGTTGTTATTTCCTTGTTAACTATTGTCTGTCATTGACAAAGCAAGTAAAAAATTGCACATAATAACAACAGATTTATCTTTAGAACTGTTTGCAAAACTTTTGGTTTGAATACAAAAGACCAGGTGAAAATGATACTGGAAAGGTACACTTTCTTATATCTAAACATCATTGCAGATTTCTAGTCTTCATTTTTGTTTATGTGTATTTCATCTGTGTTGCATAATGTTATTACCAGTTTTTATGATTTTATGTTGTTAAGTAAAGCATCATTATGTTTCAGGTTGAAATAGAGTTTTGATTAATACTTTTATTCAGTTTAAATGAATAACAACTCTCAAGGTGTATTAGCTGAACTCTCAAGGTGTTTTAGCTGAAGTATCTTTTTGTTTTGATAGTCTTTAATCAATAACGGATTTTTAAATTGTTATGAGTCTACAACACTTAACTTCAGCGAAAATTCGATTAAAAAGTCATGTCATAGAAGATAGAAAAATATCAATATCTGTTTTCAATAACTTGGCTTTTATAGCAAATATAAAGGTGAGTATAAAATGAGAGGTGCAAATGTTTAGCTTGGTTTAAGTTCTACATAATAAAATACATCGTTGTACTGTCATTTTGGTGGTCGTAAATTTCTTTAGCACACTCATTTTTATATATTTTTAGACTGTTTACCGTTTGACTCCTGTCCCAATCTAACCTAGTTTGTTCAAAAAGAAATGATCGCACTGGAAACATGAAAGGGTTAAAAGGATCAGCCCTTTTTGAATTAGTTGGTAAGTCTAATGTGTTCCACTCAGCTAATCAAGTTTCATTTGCTTTTTTGTATTACATTCAAGCAATAGGTTGTTTTTTATGTTCACTCGTTTTTTAGAAGTTGTAACCAGCTAGAAGTCGTAACCAGCTCGTATGAAAGGATTTATCGACGTGAAATAGTTAATTTTATTTAACAACTCCAAGAAACAGAGCTCGCTCAAGAAACAGAAAAGAAAGAGAAAGATGAAAAAATTTTCTGTTGAACAATACTGTTGTTTTTATTTATAAATTATTCTCCTATGTTTAAACATATAAAAGATGTAACAAATGCTTCCTCTTTTATATTGACATCTAAAACTAATACTAATAAGTATGTCTTTATTCCCACTAGGATATATATATATATATATATATATATATATATATATATATATATATATATATATATATATATATATATATATATATATATATAGTGATTTTCTACTACTTTTTATTGCTCTGTTCTTTTTAGAACATTGAGCACTCTATTTTGTAGAATACATTTAAAATTTAACAACTCCAAGAAACAGAGCTCGCTCAAGAAACAGAAAAGAAAGAGAAAGATGAAAAAATTTTCTGTTGAACAATACTGTTGTTTTTATTTATAAATTATTCTCCTATGTTTAAACATATAAAAGATGTAACAAATGCTTCCTCTTTTATATTGACATCTAAAACTAATACTAATAAGTATGTCTTTATTCCCACTAGGATATATATATATATATATATATATATATATATATATATATATATATATATATATATATATATATATATATATATATATATATATATAGTGATTTTCTACTACTTTTTATTGCTCTGTTTTTTTAGAACATTGAGCACTCTATTTTGTAGAATACATTTTAAAATTGTTTAAATATATATATATATATATATATATATATATATATATATATATATATATATATATATATATATATATATATATATATATATATATATATATATATATATATACACACACCAGATATATATGTATAAACTATTAAAGAATCATTTAACAACATTTTTTTATCTAAATAATAAATAATAACATTTTTTTGTATAGCAGTTTAATGAATGCTTTCGAAATGATGCTTTCTATTCCGTAAGCGCACATTTCGAAACGCTCCTTCCGTAATGAATTGTTCCGTAATAAACTGCAAAATAATTGGCTGCCTCAACATTCCCCAAAAAAAAATACGCAGATTTGAAAATGTCTCGTTTTACTAAAAATGCAATTCGATAAATTTTTATTGAACTAAATAAATGATCATTAACTAGGAAATTAGGTAGTTATTAGCATGATACTCAAACTCGCTATGTCAAATACTGTCTATGTACCAAATTTCAGGTCGATACTACTACTGGTCTACTGGTCTTGCCTGTCATGCACAGGCATGACCTGAAAAATTTGGTCTAATTTACTTTATAAATTGCTGTAGCGATCTCTATATAATAATACGCTACTTAATAATAGTGCTGTTTTTTTTTTTTTTTTTTTTTTTACTACTATTTTCGTCATATTTATAATAAATTATTTACAATATATACATTTTGAGTTAAGATATGACAGGAGCAGGCAGAAGACAAAAGTCTTATCATCCAGCCCCTTTGTATCATTTACATATCAAACCAAAAAAAAATAAAAAAAAAAATAAAAAATTACCCATCATATAAGAAAATATATATATATATATATATATATATATATATATATATATATATATATATATATATATATATATATATATATATATATATATATATATATATATACTTATACACGCATACACATACATACACGTACACATACATACATATACATATATACACATGCACATACACATTTACACATACACATGTTTATATATATATTACAATCTCAGTAAAATAATATTAAATACTTTTTTTTTTTTTCTTTCCCAAATACAATACAAATATAAAGATAAGTAATGATATAAAGTGTGATGCCGCTTTTTAAACAAAAAGAAAAGTTAACGAAATAAAAATAAGAGAGGACAAAATAAAAATTAAAAATAAAATAATATTTGAGATACGTCATAATCAAGTAACTGTTTTTTTTAAGATACTTTTAAAAGTTTGGATTGAAGCTGTAGTTTTACTATTATTTAGGAGAAATGAGTTCCACAAATGTGGCCCTCGGTAAATTATTGAGAATTCAGATTGTTTTAACAAAGTTTTTAGTACCTGATAATTAAGCAATGAATGCTTTGTATGATATTTATGATCTATAATAAAGAAAAGGTCTTCAAAAATATTAGGTAGCATATGATAATTTAATCTAAACATGAATAAAAGAATATTATAGATATTTAATTGGTAAACATTCAGTACTCCAAGCTTACGAAGCAGTGGATTGGCACTGGCGTATTTATTAACATTTAATATAAGGCGGCTTGCCTGTTAGTGACCCTTCCTTTTTTTTGACCTTTTAGAGAGTTAAAACCGCAAAAAAATCACCGAACAGAACTTTAATTATAAAAATGGATGGGGAAAAAAGACTTTCTTAAATATAAAAAACCTTTTTTATTATGTATTTACCCAAGTATAACCTACCCAGCTAGCACACTTATATTGGGCCAACGTATGTAAAACCATCGCAAACGTCGGCTCTTCCAATGCAAAACCAAATTTGATCCAATGTCATTTGGTTAAAATTATTACCGACGGAACTAAAAACATCTGGCAAATTTACATTGGTCTAATGTATGTAAAAACATCGCAAAAAGTTGATTGCTTTTAAGATCTAAACCCAATGTTGATCCAATGTATATATTTCGACGTTGATTCAGTGTATATAAACCAACGTTGATCCAATGTATGTAAATACATCGCAAAAAGTTGATTGTTTTTACGAACTAAACCCAACGTTGATCCGATGTATGCGACCAAACATTGCTATTGCGAAATTATATAACTTAAATAAAATCTTCCGTGATTGCTAAAACATCTAACCACAATCAACACAAATATGATTTTTATTTTGATGATCAAGCGTTTTCCTCTTTTAAAATACATTGTCTCTTTTTATCTTTATCATAACTAATGGTTTTCCTCCGTCTTCGCTCGGACGTTAAATATAGAAAGGTGCTTTAGAGGTCCATTCTTAAATATATATATATATATATATATATATATATATATATATATATATATATATATATATATATATATATATATATATATATATATATATATATATATATATATGTATATATATATATATATATATATATATATATATATATATATATATATATATATATATATATATATATATATATATATATATATATTGAATACAAAATTTTATCAATATAAGTTCAACGTTGACTCAATGTAATTACAACGTTGTAGCAACTTAAAATATAACGTTAAAACAACGTAGAACAAAAATAAAACGTTGTATCAACGTAGAAAATATAACCATTTTCCGACTTTAACCATACCGTCGCATTTTTAACCATAATGATATAAAAACAACGTTGGCAGCCGATGTTGAGCCAACGAAACGCGCGACATTGTTCTAATGTTTTAATAACGTATGTGTAACGTATTAGCTGGGTAACTAATACTAAATACTACCTAAAGTATAACCAGGGGGAGTAGGAACCTTTTCCCCCTAAATATATGCTGCTGTTATGCATGACCTGCTGATATGTTCTGGACACGCCTACGGGTCGATACCTCATTCCGTTCTAAAAACAATAAAGCTTGTTGTAAAAAATGCTGAGTAACCATAAATAAGAATATTTAAACTTAAGAGCGACTATCTGTAAGAATCAGTCAAAAACACTAAATTTTTAGAGTGACCTGTTTCAAAATCGCTAATTTTTTAATATGTTTTTGTTATTCATACTAGAAACTTAAATCCGAAATTTTTAAAATATAAATTAATTGGTTCTAGAACCAATTAATACTTATTTTAAAAATATGACTTTGACATCTAATATCTAAAACTTTGACATCTAATATCTAAAGAATTCTTTAGATATTAGATGTCAGAGTTTGACTAAACTTTTAGAAATATTGACCAAATGGTGTCGAAGGCATTTTTGAACTCAAAAAAAAAGCAAAGTATATACTTTACAACGAGTAATTCATTTGATTATTATTTATTGGCTAGTTTTGACCAAAAATTAATAAAATTGGTAAAGGTTATTTTTTTCTTTGTCTAAATATCATGCTTCAAAATACGCAAAAAATAATTTTTTTGTCATTTTTGGTTTTCATGTCCATTCGAAGCCGCAATTATCCCACAATTTTTTTCTGCACCAACATCTACGACACTTCAAATATCTTCTCATTATAGTTCATACATTTCAATGGGTTCAATTATATGCAATCGTCATCGAAAAGAATACTATTCCGAGACAAGGACAAAAGAAACAAAAATAATAAGTGAACACGAATCTACATTAACAGCTACTAATACTGATTTTATACGAGATGAGTTTTTACAAAACCAAGACAAATTTAAAATGAAATCAGATAAAATATCACAGCTTGTCTTGGGTCCAATTTAATACCAGTTTCAAAGAAAACTTGAGATTATCAATGAATCCACAAAGTAACAAATGCGAAAGAAATATAAACGTATGGAAGAAATCTTCAGAAAAAAAATTGCAGAATCTATTGCGCCAGGTCAATCAAAATAGTTTTTAAAAGTTTTAAAGTAATGAAAATGCCGAAACAGAAGTTTTTGATGAAATTGAAAAACTTATAGAAATGTATAAAAATAATGGTGCAACAAGTCAACTAATAATTTTGGCATTTATTGATCATAATAAGTACACAAAGCAATTTTTATGCAACACATTTAAGTGCACAAAGTATAAAAAGAAAAGCCTTACAAAGAGGTTTTGCGCTACCCCAAAGAATTTATTTACAAGAAGTAGACTTTCGATTCCAAAATGTGAACATTTTTTAGATTTTATCTTTTTAAGTGGACTGTTACAAAACATTTTTTATCGTATTTCCAAAATAAAGTATGACAGTGGTGATGTTGAAACTGTAGCTAGTTGCCATTTTAACATCAAAAAACAGTCACACCATTACTTTATATAGGGAAAGTTGCAAAGAAAGTGCGTACGAGCCACTGCCCAACTCAAGTTTAATGAGGATAATAAATGGAATTAAACCATCTCATAGAAAATGCCTGGCTGGTTTAAATGGTACGGCTGCTGCTGGGATGAATGTATTTGCAACACGTGAAGAATTTGAAAATATGTTCAATAAAAAATCAATTGTTGAGAAACTTGAAAGATCAAAAAGGTATTTAAAAATTAAATATAAACCTCATTGCAGCTATTTGGAAAATGAAATTGCAACAAACCTGATCATAATCATGAAAAAATAAAAATGAGCTGTTTGAAGTTTTAGATGAAGCCAACCAAATAGGAAATGAAAATGATGTTGGTGATGATGTATTATATGACATTAAAGTATCAATTGGCAGCATCATAGAGTATATGAAAAACCTCTTAAGAGATGCACAGCAGAAAAAGAATGCATATAAACAACTAGATGACAAAACAGCATTTTGGTTGAAAGACTATTCACAAAAGATATTACCCTTAAAGTTTGGAGAGGGTCAGAAGGACTACTTTGGGAAGAAGAGCATAAGTATGCATATAGATGTTCTAAATCAGTTTTGCCTAGATGAACCAGAAATAGTGAATATTTTTGCAAAATCTGTTACTAACTGTTATCATGCTAACTACTATCATGCTAACTATTCAGTTGAATCTATGTACTTTTTCTGCAAAAAAAAAGAACTTTAAACTTCTACGGTACGACTTTAATGAGACTTGTTGTGGAAAAGACCAATGCGATAGGGAAAGTGCATCCGCCAAAACAATACTAAGAAGTTACGTAGATGCTGGCAATGACATAGTAAAAAAATGTGGTTTAAATACACTACATTTTTGGTTGTATTGAATCTTTTGAAACTGTTATTGAGTTAGAATGGCATATGCTGGCAGAAAAACACAAAAGATCTGCACAATTTTCTTCTTTAGATAAGGTAAAAAAATTTTATACCGAAAAGTTGAAAGCAACTTTGCAAATTTATTCTAATTCTATGACCGCATCGGTTAAGGTCACGCCTGTACCAATAAATATATATTCTCAAAAGTTCCATCAATTAGATTGGGCATTGCCAACAAGAAAGACTTTTCGTTTTTCTATTAAGCTAAAAAAGCTT